ACTGAATTAAAAGCACCTGATATTATTCTATGTAACATCCGAGAAAACCCGCCCCCGCCCTTCCCTTTCCTCCCCACTCCTTCTTCCCTCTCCCTCTCCAGGGTCGCCTAGATAGACTCCGAATTTGAGTGAAGAAATGAGTGGCTTCAATCAAATCTACTAGTACAAATTATTTCTATCTCTGTCACTCATTTCTTAGCCCACAAGTTGTAAAGGTCCAATTAATATTTGAACGATCTTGCAATTTTGGATGCCAATTGAACACAGTAACGCATCCCAAAGCGGGTTACGTTACTATTTCCGATTTGCTTACAAAATCGCAAAGGAATGGTGAGCGCTTGAAATTTGTATTTCAATCGTTCCCTTATAACGAACACATGAGCACGGAAACGCAAACGTGAGTTAATTAAAACGCCTGCACATACCGTGTTGAATTTGATTTGATGTAAAATGTTCTTCGTAATCCTTCCATTGTAACCAAGAATTATTGCGTTCTCCTCACAATTAGAATGATTCCATGGTAGGTACGAAATTGCTCTAAAAACCAGAATTCAGCTCAGACCATGGTCATTTCAAAGAATCGGTTTATTACCTGAACAGAGTGGCTGTTACATTAGAATACTTTTGCCAACCTAGAAAAGGTTTCGCAAAAGAGAGATCGAAGCTGTGGTCTCCCTAAAGCTCAGTTACAGGTATTAAAGGTTCAGGAATCTTTTTAGATAATCCGACACACGAAACAGCTCGATACGCATTATCGATTATTCAGCTAGTAGTAATTCTCAGAAACCCACCTTGACCGTATATGTGTAACTGGAATTGATTGCTTCACCACGCCCTCCAACACTGTGCTTTCCAGCATTCAGTGACATGTCAGCATCTCCATTTGTGCTGATACCGGCTTTCAGACCCAAAGTAAATGCCTAGAAATATTAGAAGATGCGTTTTGTTTCACCGATTCGTTAGCCCGGTAGAAGAAAAAGGATTGCTTCTACATTCCGAATTTGACCAGCAGTTCACTAAATGATATAAAAATACTGAAAATCAACTTGAAATACCGGAGAACACCAAAAGATAGCGACCAAATTGTTCTCTGAGATGCAGAACGATTTCCTTATTGCTTCAAGCCCATGAAAAAAAAATTGAAAAGAGTCCCTCATGCAATCTCACCTTCGGTTCTTTAACGACGAAATTGACAATGTAGCCATTACTGGAAGGGGCAACGTCGATCAACGGTACAGCACTCTCCATCAACCCCACTTCCTAAACAGAGAACTTTATGAAAAGAAACGGAGGACGCCCTCCTCGAGTATCATTGCGCAAAATGTCACCTGGAAATGCTTGGCTGCAAGATGGGAATTATGAACCAGCTCGTCCAACGTCGAACTCCGATATAATTCAGAAACCTGTAACAGATCTGCTCACATGAATAACTGTTTTCTTCCCCTGACCTCGACCTGAATAACATCAGGATTAAACTCTAAAAATTGGACGATTCTGCAGAACCTCAAAATCTCCTAATGTTTTATCATACATAAGAAAAAGTACGGTATATACACATTTGCGAATCATTACCATCGTTAGGTACAGAAAGGAACGCGCTCGACTGGGAGGCTACCTAATTCGGAACATAGAAATATACAAAAAAAAAGAAATTCAAAATAATACCTCCTTAACCAGCGCATCGTTCTTCGTGATTCGTATTCCATGAAATTGAACCGCTTCTACCACTGTCGGAGCGTCACCTGCTCGCCCTAGCAGGACTGACGCCTAAACTTGATGAAGACAGTTATTTGTGAAGAAGTTACTTCGAATACACTTTAGTTTGTCCGAGTTTGAAGAAAATACGAGAAAAAAGTTCAGAGGGCGAGAAATTTGGACAATAATGGAATTATAGCAAGAGTAAATGTCCAGAATCCGAGACACATTTGTTATGACTTTTTTTGTTACTTTTATTACCTTTTCTTGTTTTGTTGGTCACGTCCCGCCTTCGTGTTATACACTCAAAAAAAGGGGAAGCTTCTACTCTGCAGCAGAGACATTTTGCGGAAGAACGGCTATTTCTATTGAGGCACTCATATAATTACGATTGTGTCGTCAAAGGATCAGGATAAAAAAAGTAGATAAAGTGCCGTCAAAGATCCGAACTGACAATAAGCAGGATTATGGTTCAAACATACCTTATGAAATGTTTTGTCACCCATGTATCACCGGCTCTCCGATCTGATCAAACGATAATTTAGGAGAGATAAGACTTAAAAGTTATCACAAAAAATACCATATTTAACGTTCGAACGCACCTCTCATGTTCAAAACACTCATTTTCGATTTCAAAACTCTTCATTTTGACATCATAAAATCTCATCGACATAACTGACCAACAATCCAACAAATAATAAGCGAATAAACACAGCATACATCACTTACGTGCAAAATAACAAGGAGTGGGAACAATTGTTAACAAAAAAAAAAACTTCGAGACATAATCAAGCTGTGGGTACACAAGGTTAACCACGAAGAACATTGGCGTCCTCAGCATTTTCTTCCTCTACGCCTCCGAGATGGATGCGTTCTCGGACAGGTGGATCCAAAGTAGGGTGAACACTGAGCACCTCCATTTTACCAGCAACCTGCAATCGTAAGGAGGTTTCGATCAATGGACGAAATACAGTAGCCTAGCCCGATTTCGGACTCAAGGTCTCTCGGACTGTTTGCCGTCTGTTCCACTCTGCAGACCCCGTTGCTCTCAGCTACACTACAGGAATGATTCGTGTTCGAAGTAGATGAACAGGTCTGATCTGCTTTTTCTAGCAAACAAAGATTCGCTGAAAACCAAACCTCATTCAGTTTCCTTTGCTTTTCTTGTTCGTCCAATTTTGATTTCTCCGCTAGCACACGGGTGTACATCGGAACGTATTCATTCTTATACTGTTCCACGCATTCTCCGACAGCTTTCAAAAACTCGTCCATGCCTTCACCAGTCGCCGAAGAAACCGACACTTCAATGAAAACATGTAAATCAGCAAGTTGTCATACAGGATGAAAGCGTATTGCAACATCACTCTTCTTTTAGATGATATTTTTCTAATGTCCATTTTTATGTTTCAGGAATGGCATCTGAGGCGAGCTCAGTTTCAAATGGAAGGCATCGATGTAAGCTCGCACGGCTGCCAACAAATTAGAGCTGGTGGAACTGCTCGTTCGAATCGTCGGGGTGAAAAAGGCTTCGTAACAAAAAAGTTGGACATAGACGCCTATTGAAGATGTTCGAATCACAACACTTTCATTTCGTAACCTCCGATAAGAAAGAAGAACGAAAAATTGGCCATCGAAAACTTCTCATACCTGTCTTAAGATCTGAATAGAATTCTTCTAATACCAAAGATAAGGAGCGGCTGAGATCATTCATATACGAACTTCGATTCTCTTCCAAAGCCTGATCAAAACGTTCGAAATCTCGCATCCAACTTCTCGCAAACGCAGGTGAGACTATATCGGCCTATCAAATACGTCAAATCAAATATGTACAAAATTGACAACTCAAAAGAATGAACATTCAAAGCTCAGAAATGACTGATTGCGGAAAACTCTCTGATCTCTTAGGACGCAGCTTCAGAAGGTTTCGATGCTATTCCGTTTTTACCGTCTTAATTTTGACTGCCATATGCCATCGCAAATAAGAATACAACTAGCTGATATGTAAGTCAAAAATTTATAGCATTTAAGAACGATTTCGGTCTGCTTCTATAAAACTTCTATAAAAGGTTTGAAGAACAGGGCTTTTCGCAGGATGTGGGATATGTCAGCACACTCTATTTCCATTAAGGATTGCAATGGCTCCGAATGCTTAATTGACCTTTCCATATAGCGGTACGAGTTAGGTGGACTGGCCTAACAAGTAAGGGCGGCGTAATTTCAATACCTGACCAAGATCGCGAGCCATACGGTTTGTCTTACTTACGCCCCTCGCAGAAAATGATTCATTCCGAAGTGCTCAGTTGGACTAAGCAGGATTCGAACTGGGAGTCAATATACTATGCCGCGGCAACGATGTCACTTTGCACATACCTCGGCCTAGCCAATATTATATACGTAAACAATAAAAACAACCATAAGCAGCAGATCAACCCACCTTATTGAATGCAACAATGAATGGCAGCTTAGTTCTATATAATATAGAGCAAGCGTATAGCATATTCGACATGAACGTCGTTGGATTTGTCGCTCGTGCCGAGTCGACCACATAGACGACTATCTTGAAATAACAATCTTTAGACCAATCAGGGCTAAGCTGTTAAGATTAACCAATAAGTTAACTTTTCATAAAGTTAAAAATTACATTCGTTAGGATGTGCCGCTAACTAAGCACCGCATGGTTGCATTTATAGTACTGACGCCTAGGCGACGTCAGCCCCTCTGCGGTAGTGTGGATGCAACAAAATGCAGGACTTCGTCATTTTTATCGAGGATAACCTCATGTAATAATAGGCATTCAAGATGGTAACTGCGTAAATCGATAGAAAGAGAAGCAACATTTACAGTTGGATGGCTGCTAGCTAACGAATCAGTGATGATAGAACCGCTGGCACTCCATGTGAATGCTTCAATCTGACCTGGAGTATCGATTAAACACAGACTATACTGACTTGCACGTTGTCGAATCATTGTCAAGACCTGAAACTGTCGGATCATTGTCAAGACCTGAAACAAGCCGAGAAGGACTGCTTCATCTGTTCAAAAACTGCGTAACTAAACAAACCTGATCAAATTTCGTACACATCAAATTCAGACTTGTAATAATAGCACCATTTGGTCCCAGACCATAATCCTTCATTACTTGTTTATACTTCACAGTGTCGCGTATATCAATATTGACCGGATACGGTACCTTAAAAACATCAGCTTTCAATCAGAGTATAATGAAAAAAAATCCTTCAAAACCAACATTGGCAGTGGCTGGATCCAGATTGATCACATATGGTGGTGTTTTTCTCGCGTGTAGATAAGCAGTAAGTCGCTACAAAAAAGAATTTATTCGGTATTTAAATAAAAATAGCAGGGCAAAGATATATACATAAATCGTTCTCCAGCATAGAATCATCAACTTCACTGGAGTGCAAAATACAAAAGGGTAAGCCACTATAGGTTAAAGGCATTACCTGTACAAACGATGTTTTTCCGGAGCCAGCCATGCCAAGAACAAGTATGGATGGAGGTATGTTGGTGTTCGGTTGAGAAGATGAGGGAGCAGAGGTGGAAGTCGGCACACTATCTCCGTTCATCTAAACACTTTTAAACTTTCCTGAATATTTCGGAGCCACGAGCGAGCTTCATTATGCGTTCCTCATTTTCTCCTTTACAGCGAGCGTAGCAATTAGATCAAGGTAATAGGGTCCTTAATGGCTGCATTCAAAATGGTGACTGCATCTAAATAAGCACCCGTCAAAATCTCGATAACGTCCTAGGCACTACTTGGACTACGATTAAGCGATTGCGAGTGAACGTATGGTACGTAGGCAGCTACAATTGTACTCATCTGCTTCGAAGTGCAGGATTTTACCGTTGTTCTCATACAATAGTCATGGTAGCCTGCTACACTCAATTTTCTACATTCGTTATTCTCAGAATGCAGCATTCATTCGTTATTCTCAGAATGCAGCATTCATCCAAATGTAGTATATTCTAATAGCAGCCAGAGATTGAGGAACAGCCGCCAACATAGAGTGTCTCACAATGGATAGTTTCCAGGACAATTTGAATGTACAAACTTAATACTGTATCCCGTAGGCTCTACACTGAAACAACACAATCCCTTTCGTCATGGTTGTGTGATTAAATAGCGAACTCAGAGACAGTATGAGTGGGACTTATATGGAGAAAAGTGGAACCTCACTAGCGGCTCCCATTACTTACTGCACGCCTCGACTATGAACCGTAATGCGACGGCACGCGGGCGGAGATAACTTTTTCACCCTCTAAGCACTGTCAAACTGTGACAGTAAAAGGAATTGCAGCAATACGTCCACTGAATTTTTACCTCACAAATCGAAATAACTTATACAGTATATCCAAGCGAATATGCACTGAACGTTCAAACCTGAGTTACCAGGACAACAATTTTATCAATTCCTTTATTGATTCGATGTAGAAGTGGTCACCGGTGAATCGAAGTACACAACAACATACACGACCAGAACACAACATCATCACGAGAAGATGATTTAAAAATTCAACAAGCGACTTGCTCAAAGAAACACTAAACCATTGGGCTTCCTCAATTTCCTAGTTCAGGATTCGGAAAGCTGGAGTATGAAACTAAAAAAAGATGAATACAGATGTTTACAGTAATCACATGACTGGAAGAAAAGAATACGTGCCGCAATCAAAAATCTAATAATAAAATTACAACAAATTACGCTATGCACACCTCATTACAGTATAATCATTTCAGAAACCGAATATTGTTGCCCTGAGAACTACTACTAACTGCTTAGTGATCACGTTAGACAACTTGAATAAACAACATAACCGTACAATTTGAGTAAATTATCGACCAGGAGAAATTCGGCTAAAAACAAGTCACTCTTTACTGTCTGAAATAGTAGGTTAATATTTTCGTTTTTTTTAAACTAAAACCCCGCACTCTTTGAGTTCCAACCAGATTCCAGTCGTATAATCACATGAGCAACCCACTTAAAGAGGTCCACGCGCAGTAGGCACCATTGAGGAATATGATTTCTATGGGCAGGATTAATGAATTATTCTGCACAGAACCATCATTACTATACATGTTTTACTCCACTCGTTGAAGAGCTTGCTGAAGACGGGGCAGGATCATCCGGCACGGAATAGGATGACGACCTCGATGACATGACAGGGAAACCAAGCTGAATAAAAAAATTGTTGCGTTGAAATTCTTACACTGAAAAGGTCTCCTGAACTGCGGGCAGTTATGATATAAATCACGAATCACTAATGGCACGCTTCATTCAAACACACTAGAGTTCAATAATCGGTGGTCAGCACTGTGCAATCATTCCCACTCTTACCAAGCAACCGTCTCTTGAGAAAGTTGGTGCATTGGACTCCGATACTCACTTGAAGGTGAACCTTCTTGATTCCAGGGTGAAATTACCTGTTTTCTCACGCTTCCCGGAGCACATCCTTTCACAATGCGGAAAGGATTCGAACGAGGTGATGCCGTTCCTAATCGCGGAACACCAAGAAGATCGCAGATAGCCTGTAGCTTCAGTCCCCGTGCAGTCTGTCGTCCCTTAATAAATAGGTGATCAAAAGTGTGTTTAACCTCATACTACAAACAAGCTATAAGTATTACCTTAGTCAGTCGTTGTTTGGCTGCCATACATCTTATGTGATCGTCGAAAACAAAACGAGCAGTGAGCAGGGCTTGACGTTTCTTAAAATTCTGATGCATCTAACAACATTGATCAAGCATCAAAGTAATCTTGCGGATCGCAGCACCACAAAGGGGGACAGAGGAAAGGAAATCTTGCAAAGCGATTTTAAAATAAATACCAGCTGACGATTTGGCTGTCCTTCAACAACAACATGAAGAGACCTGCTATCCGATGGATCTCCGCTGATTTGCGTGTCCTAAATCAGGAGTTTTCCCATGCATAGTGAACTATTTGATAAGGTAGGATGATCGTAGGTTGGAGGGCAGTTAAGGTCCCTGGATTGTAAAGGATAACAGCAAGATGCAGAGGAAGCAGAAGAAGAGTTTAAGCCCAAGTCGAGGATAAACGACTTGCCCATAATTCAGCAAACTTATGTCGACTACCTGTAGTAATCCAACAAATCGCACGATCGCCCATCCTGCTTTACGAGTATCGGGCTCTACCAGTATAAGTTGTAGCCGGTCCGTTACCAGAAACCGCGAAAGACGTTCATTCTTGTTCAAGACCACGACGCAAGACAATAAATCGGAGTTATCTATAAAACAATACTATTTACTATTTATAGCAAGAGGCACTTGAACTAAACGAGCGTCCACTCATCACTCACGTAACTGCTAATGCTAGCAACTACACACACACGAGCAAAACACAACAAACCCATATAAACATCACGAGGGTCACCAAACCCACTCAAATTGATGCAATCGCCGACTTCGACTGCAGAGTTATTTCCAACTTGGAGCGGTAGTTCAGTCTCAGCGTCTCCTGACATATCCTTGGATAGTTTCCGGATATGGAAATAAAACTGGATAACCTAAAGCGAAAATAGTTCCAAATGTATGGTCAGACTGCTGATAAATTGTTAAAAAAAAAGCAAATCGGATCAATTTCGAACCGTTCGAATTCTCTCCTCAAATCCACTCGGAAGCCTCTTATGCAACGCTAATCCTGACATCGCCGTATTGCATGGAGGTAGCAACATCTCGTATCCTATCGTTTCTAGTTTTATGTGATTCACCTGAAAAAAGTCTTGAGGAAGATCAACACTTTCCCGCAAAACTCTATTGGCTGATGGCAGCACATTAGCGGACGTAACTTGCCTCAAATTCAGCGTATTCATCCTCAAACCATTCCAAAAACAAGTTTTCAGAATTCACGTAAAGTCCTAAGCGATCAACAAAGCAGGTCAGCACATGCGAAGCCTTACTGCTAATTGATGAGTGCATCTAAACAATGGATGAGATTGCGATATAGGGACTTGATTACACAAATAGTCAAAATAGAATACGCATTATGAGCAAATAAATTTGGCAATTCACCTGATCATGATCCACCACTAACAGTATTTGTCTTAGAACCAAACAAGCTAGTTCCAGCGTTATGGGACGTAAACGACTATCCTCTTTGCCTGCAGCATCAACAATCGACAGCAACGCATCGATTATTCGTTCATCACAAGACATAGGAGGATTAGAAGAATCAACTGATGAATGCTAAAAGGGAATCGTGAAGTGGCTAATCAAAACTTTGCAAATTACAAAATATTGAACTAGCACTAGCAGCTAGGGCACTTCTTGAACATACAGAAAAGAGTTCTTCCCAAAACTACTGCCGCTATATTTTGCCTAATTTGTAACATTGTCATATAATACTCTTTGAGCGAACGGCCACCCGGTTCCTACAGTGACTTTACAGTGAAACGAGTTGCAGTGGACGCAGAATTTCACAGCTGCTACCACATTTCTTTTCACGCACAACCCTATTACCATATACACACATCAAAAAGGACCTGGACAAGGATGCGGGAGAGGAAGAAGGACATCTGGAGGGCTGATTGCATCGCAAATACTAACTGGAGCTGGGAATTAGCGAGATTATTGAGTACTTAGTGCCCGTACTGGATTTTCGTTACTGTAGTTTTATTGTATTTTTGTTTGAAACTTTTTTAACCTTACATTAAATGGTTCCGTTCCCGAGTGCGACAGATCAGTTTGAGGTTTTTGATTCAGCATGGGATACAAGGACGGAAGATTCGCAGCCGTCAACAGCTCTCCAACATCGCCTGAACTTTTGGTGTACGAAATAACAAAATTACAACACGAGTCTACGACCACTGTGTGATGGGAAAAAAGAAACAGGTAAGAGTACCAGAATCGCACAACTAAGTGCAACGACAAAACAACGAAAAAGATCTAACACAACAACAAATGCGAATAAAACTCACTTTCTGTGAACAGCAAATCAAATCACAACTTGTAGTATAATGAAAATATCAATTTTATAGTAGTGTGAACGACCCAATAGGAAGAGTTATGTGTTTACCTTTGTTTTGGAACATTGCATAGATGAGCATAAGACCATAAAAAGATAAATAGTCATCATTTTTGCTCGAATCGAAAGCACACAGCAGAGCGTCGAAAAAGACCCTGAAGGTCACTTAGCGAAAGTAAAAAATCATCTCCACTTTACGATCTCTCTAGTGATGAAGAAACAGAATTCTGTACTCCTCCCACAAGAGTCAAATTTAAGGTTAAAGCTGTCATGCTTACTCTTATACACCAACCTTGTATCAGTCCTAGGCGGCCGAGTCACAGGTTGTAAGCTATGCATATCACCATCTCTAACCCAGTGAGTTGCTAAGATCGACGCGTCCTCGAACAAGAACGCAGAGAGAAAGGTTTGGATTGTATCTCGATGTGAAATAACCTAAAACACATGTTTTTGAAGTGAATCTTGTAGCTTCGCAGTATTATCATATGATTTTCAACAGACATTACCAAAAAGACAAAACCAACCAGTAGAAACTCGGCGAAAAAGAAGAAACTGGAGACTGGAGTAAGCAAAATAGCGCAATTATGACGTCTTGGAGCGAGACTATTCAAAAGTAGAGGTATCAGAAATCTTGAGCAGATTAACGAGGACAACGAATCGGCTATGGCGTCGACTTCCAGTAGCTCTCCCATGTAATGGAGTAGGTCGATAAGATCATCAACCTGAACAAAACGATTACACCTAGATTCCAGGACGCATGGAAAGCTTGAGTATGGCAGGCTTGGAAAATACCATAAAGCAAGTGTTGCTTAATTAGGTAAGATTTGCGTACACAAATTCAATATTACGACCATTTTCCACGAGGATGCTCTAGGAGAAGATCACTGATAAGTTAACGATGAAAGCTGACCTTTTCTCGTAGCCGATCTCGATTTGCAATAACATTTTCAGCTGACCTTACGAAAGTATCTAGCTCAATCGCTTGCGTAACGAGGCTATCAACCAAATTGTATAGATACACCTAAATAAACGTTACATTAGCATTGCAAAGTTACAAGCACTGTTGGTTCGAGTAAAAAAGAGATTTGTGAAAACTTACCTTGGTAGCGCCCTTAACAAAAACAGTCATGGAGGGATCATTGACTCGTACAATATTCAATACAATATTACGCACAGCTATGCGAACCATACTCTCAGTTGAATCGAAAAACTTTAGAGATTCCGTCAGTAGGGGAAACTCTTCCGTTGCCTGAAAGGATGGCAGAATAAAAGCTTCTTAGGGTAAGCTACAGCGGATAAGACCTATAGCTACATTGATAGAGCTTCAGCGAGCAGGAGGAACTCAATTCACTAAAAGTGAATCATACCTCGTTGAAAAAGAAGTGTATTGTCGACGGGTTCAATTTGAACGAAAGAGTCTTCAAGAAGGAGATGTAGTAGGCCATGATCTCTTCGTTTGTGAAATCAAAAGTGTGAGTGATTATGGAGTTGACATGATTATTGCTGAGAAGGAAGTCTGCAACAATAGTTTATAGGGAATATTTCAATCTCAAAACTAGAAGTACTTACAAAGGCAAGTCTCGTGACGGATATTTTCAAATAAAATATTCAAAGTCTGGAGAAGTTGAACGTTCAGAGAGCCACCGTCCTGTTTCATTATTTGTAAAAAGTAGGAAAGCATCTGGCGCTCCAGAAAAAAGCTGAAATGGGAAGTTTATATGGATAAAAGGCTTTTTCATGAAGCTCCCTTTAAACTTCAACATTTATTCAAACGTATTCGACAATAATAAGGGCGGAGGTGGTGTAGTAGCAAGTGGCGCACTATCTCACACGCACGGTCAGGGGTTCAACTTTCGGATCGATATCCGCCTATAACAACCAAGCTTTCCTTCCCTCCGGGGTTTTCAATTGGTTCTAGACTCGTCAGAGAGGATAAAAGCACTGGCTTGTACATCGAGTGGTCACCGCAAGTCATTGTACAGGCCAAATACGCATTCAATACGCCACTACGATTCTGAATGGAAATCGAGTGCGGGGGCGCATCCTTCAGACGGGATTGATTAACGCCAAAAACTTTATCCTTTATCCTTTATTTCCTCCTAATGTTGCTATTATTAATAATTATTATTAACGTTACTGCTACCATCCTATTATCCTTTTTATAGGTAAAGTATATGACTGGACAAGGTGAAATTCGATAATATAAAAAGAAGAATTGCAGGCTAACTACTCAGCTCAATTAATGGCTCTCCAGAAAGTACCGACCAAATTTATCGAAAACCGCCATTTCCTTCTCAGTCCATCAGGTAAAGCAAAGTAAGTCAAGATTAAGTACATGCTGAATCTTTTCAAAAAGGACTTACAAATCTTTGGAAACTTTATCAGTACAAAAGAGTTTCAGCGCAACAAAAGATTCTGAAAACTTTTCTGGACCTTTTGAATTCAAATAGTTGCTAATAAAAATAATAGAATAGACATTCGAAATCTTTATAATAAAAGTTTAATTAAAAAATATTGTTGTTGTTGAAAATATTATTAATATTGAAAATATAAAACACCATGAGCACAGAAAGTCACATAACTATCGTGCCAAAAGGGAGGAAAAACAGTGAAAGAAAGAGAATTCACTCACTCAAAGACAGAACTGTCATTTTGATCACCCCATATCAGTATCTCAGCAATAGCTCGCAAGGCTTCCACCAGGATTTTCCGATTGGTCTCCACAACTTTCTCATTCTTCACTAGGACGCCATGCAAGTACCTAAATAGAGTAACGTGCATGAGACTTATAGGTATTGATTTACATGTGAAAATAAGCACGGTTCAAAAATATTGCATTATTACTTCAGGTATTCCAACGAATGTGGATTTTTCGGCCTCCATAATGAACTCGACGAACCACCGAATCTTCGCAACATCAATATGCGAATGAAGAACTGTGAGACAGATCACCAATATCAAAACGTTCTCGGTAATTGTCATCGATGCTTTATGAAAGCATTACTGAAACGATCTTATCGGTCTTGATTACACAAAATGCAAAGGAATGATTCTGAACAAAGACAAACTTGGATCGGTCGTAATTGCTCGTAAAATAGAGGAAGGACCGCAGACAACTCCTACATCCACAGTAATGCGAGGAATTGCAGAAAGTGGGGCCCTCGATCTTTTGCCAGAGGTGAAATCTTTGTCAAGGATGAAATATTGGGAAGGATAGAGAATTAAACAAAGAGAGATTAGTACGAAGATAACAGTGATGAAGCTTCTGGGGAGGGGCGGGAGGCAGGGTTTACGCTGCAGAAGATCCACATGACTTTGATGAACGTAGTAATTGTAATGCATAACATTTGCAAACAAACATTAGGTCTAGTAGGCACGAAAAATCATTGTGAACAACAAGATTACGTTCAAATCATGAAAAGTCCAGGTATTCTTATGCGCAGAAGAGTATGAGTGCAGCTTGGGGTGAACCGATACTGTGGGCGGCCCTGTTGCCAGTCCACAACCTTCCCTGTCCTTCACCTGACTCCCTCAGCTGCTTATTCTTGTCCCTTAACCATTTATTCCTCTATTCCACTACAATGCGGATTTTACCCTTCCTATACTCTCGTGCGTCTTTTGCTTGCAGATCCGTCTCAAACTAATCGTTGCAAAAGGTAGTGCTGCATGTAAACGAGTTAATTTACATAGATAGGCTGTTCAACACGGTAATCCGGTTCTTACAGCAATGAGCCCGTGGAACTGGTACCGATCCGCCCGATGTCCTTATCCAAGGTCCGCGTCGTGTATGCATTATGTGTGCGATTTGTGTAGTTAAACAATGTAGGTTCCCCTTCCAGGCTCACACCTTCTGAAGTGAGCGTGAGCGGCGGTGAGGTTCCAAGAAGAGACACGCTTACTTCTTCTAAAACTTCAAACTTTTCTCCCTTTCAAGACTCACTATGGAACTGGACGGTGATAGGATGAACGCCATGATTCATCCACGTATTTCCGGACAGAGCGAGGAAGCTGGTGAAGTCATCGAAGGGTTACCAAGATGCAGAGACCGTAGCTTCTTCTAGCTCTCCTATAAAGTAGTGCCCTATCAAACGAGACCAGCCAATGACCGTTACTCTTCGTAATGCTCATTTGGAGTGTCCTTACTTTTTGTAAGGCATGAATTGGTCTTCGCTTCGTTGCTATATGGTCTTGTATTTGCCCGAGTTGAGCATCACAATTGATGTCATCAAAATGAAATTTATATTCCTCGTGTAACACAGGAAGGTCTACTGTTAATGTCGGCCTGGCCCCAGTAGAAGTCGTAGATGACGTTCTTCATTGCTCCTCGAAAAGCAATAACTATTCTAACTTGACAACGAAGGAAAGCCCTCTTGGACTTCAAGGGGGTGCTCCGGCGGACCTTGCGAATGCTCTTCCCGTTCGCGGCGCCTCTGGACAGAATTGCTGCTCTTTCCTGCTTCTGATCTTCCTCAGTCGCTACTGCGCTTCTAGCTTCGCGAGTTTCTGATTGCAGATATATGACGTTCTCTGATGATCGTCGACATATTCAGAGGGTATGACGTTAGTTGGTGATTGGTTATATTCATCGGTTCCATTCATCATCGGTGTTGTCGATTACAGAATCTTCCCATAAACTCCCATGGGAAACCATTTCGATCGACGACAGTTCCTTATTTTTTTCTGAACTTCGGAGCTCTCTTTTCACGCTCTAAGAGACAGAATTTGGCATGGAAAAACGATCCTGTGTAGAATTTCGGAACAGCAGCAACATCTGTCAAAACTTTTTTCTAATCTAGGCAATAAAATCGCAAACGATGGCTTTAAAGAGCGCATGGCTCGTAGTGTAGAGCTTTCAGTTTTCCATGTAAATAAAACGTTTCCAGCCGCTTTGCCTGTATCGCTGTTACTTGAAATGGTCAAGTCGCAAAAGATCTGTTAGCGAAAGCAAAGAATGGGCACCACGAAACCTACTTGGACCGCAGTGCCATCATTATTAACGTTAGGACCTGATTCCTGATATGTAGCCGGAGCTTGTCGTCCTTTATCCTGACTATCGCACTCTTTGACTCTAACTTCAGTCACAGCTCCAGTGGACATTGCAGCACCTTTGCTATTGTCATCTGCTATTGCTCGGTACTGTCACAGTCAGCCTTTTCGCCGCGAGGAAGAATTGGAGGCTTGACTGGCTGTCAACGGGCATGGACAGGGACGAGTTGAACGAGTGGGAAACTCACGTTGGGCCGAAGTGATTGACCAGTCTCCCACTCGCTACTTCTGTAAGGTATACGGCGCGATACGAAGGAAGGGCTCCAGAATGCAGTCGCAGTACAGTTCCGGAGACCGGCCCAGGACTCATATGAAACCCATGGTGCAACAAACCCAATATTTTGTAACCATACTACAACATTTACTGCATCGTTACTTTCTGAAATCCCATCCTTTGCTTAGCTTTCAGGAAATATAGCTTGAAAAATTTGTTGTGTAAAATTTGCAACAATAACTGAAACCTGACCAATCCTTAGGTCGAAGCTCGATATAAAATTCCCAAGTGGAACGAGTTGTGAAATTATTAACCGTGGTGTCCGAACTCATTAGAGAGAGCTATACAAACAGCCTTTGTATGTAGAAGAAACGTACCCTGAGCAAAATTGAACGATCCCGTGCTTCATTTGAGAAGCATACAAATAGATGCAGATCAATGAACTTCGGAGCATTTCACGGTGCTCCCACAGATAAGGCCCTCAAAGCGAAAGGCTGCTTTTATACTTCGACGTCCGTCCGTCTGCTCGTCGCGTGTGGAGCGACGGCGGTCGCGTGCGTGCTGCGACACCGGTTCTAGGAAGGTGTTGACAGCGCTGAATACCGATCGATACCGCAAGACAAGAGTATGACTAATTTCATCATCCCGTCATGCGGTATCGATCGGCATCAGACGCTGTCAACACCTTTCTAGAATCGCCGTCGCGACACGCACGCGACCGCCTCGCAGCCTGCAACGAACGGGCGAACGGACGTCGAAGTCTAAAAGCAGCCAAAGACGTTAGCTAGCATAACGGCTCTTCTTTTTGAGCATGGTACTATTTCATTTACTTTTTTGAAAAAAATCGGAATAGGTAGTATGTAGACCAGAACAACTGAAAAGGATCTGGTCAACACCAACGACATCGACCTATCCATGCGACTGACCAAAGGCAATGAGTACATGCTTAATGTGTACAACTTAGGCATTCAATATCCATAACGTTCGACGTCATTGGGAAAAGGAACTGATAGCTTGGAATCATGCTTGTATCTTACCTTTACCTCTTTCTCGGTGAGTTTCATTTTTTCTTTAGCTCGTACCACGATACGTTCGTGATTCTTCTCATACAAAACTACTTGACACTCAACGAAACGACGAAAATGGAAGAACAAGTCTCTGCTGAAACAGGTGATTTCGACGGTGAGTTCGCAAAAGCCGAATCACTCTCAGAATATCCTTTTCTTAACGCGTCACTGAATTGGGTTTGCTTCCACTGCCTCATCCAGCTCGTCTTTTTCACCACAGTCGGTACAGCTCCCCCGAATTGAGGCACCAGCAGAAGATGTGCAGGGAAGGTCTTCAAGTATCGGAATATAAAATTGAGCGTTCTATCCCACTGCATATAATGCGCTAAGTGTATGTGTGCATGTGTGTTTGTGTTTGTGCGTGTGGTACTTAGTGGTGATATGAAGTTGTGGTAGTGGTGTTATCACCACTACCACAACTTCATATCACCACTAAGTATCATTCATGGCCTAGGCCAAATAACCATGTTGCTCAATTCAGAGAAGTCGGTGCGCCGCTAAACCCATCAAAGGGAAAGATTGAGTTCCCAATAAATGGACATTGCCAAGATTGACGGCAACTTACGGACATCGTAAGCGTAATGGACGCTAGTCGTGCCAAACTTGTACTCGTAATGCCTACTAATTAGGAATATTTTCAAAAAACTTGTGGCCAGAAGTGGATCACTCATTTCGAAAGGAGTCAGACACGCCTTTCGACATTGTAACCGGAGGCGGCGAGCCCGTGTATGCATGGCGATCCGACTGGATTTATGTGAACAGTAGAGCGGCGATAGTCTTGTGTGTGCCAAGATCGTAGATAGCAAGCAACAATCCCTCTCATTTATGAAGCAGAAACTTGGTGTGTCGGTCTGTCCGTCCGCAAAAATTATGATTACGGTAAAGGGAGTGATAAGGAGAATCCTGTTATATTCTACACTTCCTTCTTATATGTAAGGCACTAACTTGGTTGGTAGGTTGATGGAGTAGAGTGAGTACTGCGGAGTGAAGTGATGTGAAGTGAAGTGGGTACTTCAAAACTGTGATTCTGCCGGCATCGTGCTATGTATGTCTTTACAAGAATCGAAGGTGATGATGTAATTGGGAGACCTTCGCTTATTCAACATTATTTCAGGTGGGGTGATTCAACAGAATATTCAACTCATACCTGTCCTAAGTTTTCGCCCGAGGTAATCATCCCACCCCCAGCCCGCCCTTCCTCCCCTACTGAGGCATAGCTTGAAACATTATTCTTTCGCCTGGAACCGTTTCTGTCTACAGGTTAGGTCGGTTACACTACTTCTGCACTCCAGCCCTCAGTGCTGGAAAAAAGTCTCCTCCTCCCCCTGACTACGCTTTCTACTACTTGCTAAAGTGAGGACTGAGGCTTGGCGTAAGCCGGGCGACCGGACTGGTGTTAGAGAAATGGAGAGGAGGGAGTGTTAGAGATATGAGGGCCGATGAGGGATGATGGGAGACAAGGATAGTTCGCAAAATGCTTATATCTAGTTGATAAGGGTTGATAAATGGTAATAAGGAGGAAGGATAGCGGGCAAAAAATGATATAACTGCAGATTAGATTTGATAGACGGTGCTAAAGGGTAGGGATAACGGGATTATTGTTGATAAGGGCTGAAGTAGGGAGCTAGGGACAAAATGTGTAAACGTACAGCGCGGACAAAATGCGGTAACTAGTTTGTAAGGGTTGAGAAGGGTACTGGGGAGCAAGACCATCGAATTCCAAACGTGTTCATACCAGGATTGTAGACAAAGTGCCAGCAAATGATAACAATCGGTATGGACCAAGGAATGTTGCAGTGAAAAAAGGCACTTACAATTAGAGTGCACAGGACGATAGGCCTTCGAGGCATGGAAAGATTACAAATTAGCAGTTACAATTGTGGTACCATCTCTTCAACGATCGACCAAACCATCTTGCATGAGACCAGCAAAAAGCTCCACTTCGACGTCAGCGCCCTCCAAGGGATTGAGACCAAGGAAACAGCCATGAACAAGACGAACGACGACCACCTACTCTGTCCGGAAGCAAAGGTGGAGGGAAAAGATGTCAGCGGTGTCAAGTTTTTGTGTTACGAAGAAAAGGATTCGTTCATAAGGAAGTGGAGGAGTCTACAGAGACGAGCGTTCCTTCTACAAGAACGTTGTTGGAGACTTCAAAACAGTTACCCTTGAGAGGAAACCCTTGGGAGCGCTCGAAAGGAGGTGGAACCGGAGACACGAAAAGTAGTGGAGAAGGACCCATAAACTTTTTGGAGCGATGCAAGCTCTTGCACGGAAAACGAGAGCCGACGGTGGACATAGAAGAGCAGCAACGCAGCAGCTTGCAGCAAAAGTGACCACGTCCTTGGCAACAGAAAGTGGAGTTTGCTCGATGCCAGTGCAGTAGATGCATTCCGCACCGAAAGCGACCATAAACCCATCAGAATTCCCTCCGAGCAAAACTTTGAAGACGAGACCAGGAGGCAAGCACCAAGCGATACAAAGGCACTCGACTGAAGACAGCGACAAACGAGAGGACATTAGCGACTCTCGTCCGGTTATCACGGTCATGATGAACGGAGGAACTGCCGTCAGTTAGCACATGAACTTCTCCGGCTCGACGATGTTGGCTACCAGCATCCCTATGCCAACAAAAGAAGTGGCTCCCGGGATAGGCCTAGAAAGGCACGGAACAGACGGCATGTTAAATAACTTTTTGAGGTCGGCGTCCTACACTGTCACCAAGTTGCGCACCAGGCGCTATAATGACTACCTGGACACAAAGAACTTCCCGGATTAGGCAAGGTATCAAACGGGGTACTTCTGTTCAAGAAAGGCGAGCGCACCCGAGTATAAGATACCGTATTATTGTGCTTCTCTCACAGTCGAAGAAGCTGTTGAAGGTGGTCATTTTAAAGACTCGAGAGGCAGCTTGACGACTATCAACCAGTCAAACAGGCCAGTCTCGGCAAGAGCTTCTGTTGCATGGACCATCAAGCAGCAGGTTGAGCAGACCAAGGAATACAAGTAACTACTCCTTTTCTGCTTCATCGGTTATACGGAAGCATTCGACAGTATTGAGCCCAACTTTGTCTAGAATGCATTACAACATTCAGGCGTCGTCTCACGCTACATCAAACTGATGAAGCAATGCAATACTCACACATTTACCATCTCATGTTCCAAACAGAGCTACGCGTGTCGATTGAAAAAGGAGTCCGACAGAAAGGCACGATCTTGTTGAGCTGTTCACCACCGCGTCTCAAGCACGTGATGCTACAATGCAATTGGACTGGAACGATACAGTCATCAATATCGACAACAAGAAGTTATTTAACTTGCGCTTCACAGGCAGTATCGTCTCCATCAGTAAAGCCGAAAGGAGTTGCAGCAGAGCAGTGGTGCAGGAGTTGAGCGAGGTAGCCACTGGCCTAACGATGAACCGGAGCAAGACAATGGCCATGCGAAACGAGTGGGCGGATGTATCACACTCAAAGGCGTCACTTATTACACTTTACCGTTCAGCGACTCCTATGTGTACCTCCACCGACTCATCTTATGGAAAACAAATTACGCGCAGAGATTATGAAGAGAGTGAGATGGGTCTAGGCGGTCGTGGGAAGCACCAACGAGGGCAAGAAGATATGAGCTGATTGGCCCATTGGACATTACGGTATTTTCTATGCTCAGCTACGTACAGAGAAGTGGCCGAGAACAAAACATCGACGCGGGTTATGACTCGCGCACGTACCACATACATGCGTTCAGCGTCCGGCATTCTTAACGGCGCGGTAACGTCGTAGAACGCAAAGAAATGATATGTCAAACACGTTGTCGGTCGCATGGAGGATCGGTGCAGCACTCTGGTACCCACGTGACGTTAGGCACACACTTAGCCGTCCTGCAAGGCGATGGAGTGACTCTCTGAAGGACTTCAAGGAGCTGTAGGTCAGATCCAAGCCCAGGCAGAGGCAGAACTTTCCAACTTTGGTGAGCTGCCATTCGGAAAACTGGCGGAGCAGAAGCAACAATGCTCCTCTTCTTTGAATGATGTTTTGAGGGACTAATTGAATGGAAGTTGGTTAGTGTTAGGCTAAGAGAACACCCAGTTAGAGGCAGAACTTTCCAACCGTGCTCTTCAATCTATGTAGCAGCCGGCTAAAATTGAATCATACTTGAAGAAAACGACCAATAGCGCAGCAACGGGATTAGCCTCCGGGGCCGGTATCTCTTTTTCAAGCAAAAACCCTCCTCCTTGATTAGTTTACATAGGGTGGACAGCTTTCATGTACAGTGACAGTGTCCTATGGAAATGCTCTGAACGTCGTAACAAAGACTGGCAAGACTTGCACAGCTGACACTGAGACCCCTTCTTCAGATTCAAATTAAAGGGTGTCAACCCAAATAACGGTGTCATTCTGATTGATAGACTGACAAGCGATCAGAAGGGATTATTTATTGTTATGTTCCTACCACATTGAATCTTGCATTTCATTGCTCAGATGATCTTGACTGGCGGAATGAAATTCTCGACTTCTTGATGTTCTTCGGTCTCACTACTAACATAGCCAGCTTGTGGAGTTTCCCGGCAAAAGCGATGGCCTTTGGTGGAAGTGAGTTTTGGTTTCTGAGTAGGTCATCTAACTTGTAGTGCCACGCACTGCCTTTGTTGTTTTGAAAAGCTATCTCAACAACATGCTCAAATACTCCAAGCTGTTCAAAGTAGCTATTTTTTATCGATAGAAAAGTGAATCTGTAAATCTGGACGCCGCATGAAATACTTTGTTGAGATTTAAAATGGTATCTGTAGGGCAAAGTCAAGCCATGATTGTCAAGCAGAGCAGCTAGAAAAGATTAGAAAATTTGTTTATAAGTTAGCGAGCCGATTACATTTCTGAATGTTCAGCATTTTCCGCCCTTGTGTCATCAAACTCGTGCTTCCCATACTGGTAGTGGTACATACTGATGTACTAATATAACAGTGTGGTGCTGCAATCAAGCAGTACTTGGAAACTCCACTANTTTGTTTATAAGTTAGCGAGCCGATTACATTTCTGAATGTTCAGCATTTTCCGCCCTTGTGTCATCAAACTCGTGCTTCCCATACTGGTAGTGTTATATACTGATGTACTAATAAAACAATGTGGTGCTGCAATCAAGCAGTACTTGGAAACTCCACTAGGTCGCAGATAAGATCTTCAATTTAGCTCCAAAAAGTCCGACTACCAGAAGTGTTTTGATTTGTTCTTCGTCGAAAGTAGTCCTTTATGAGTCCTTTTCCCGTATGAAAACGTGAGATCTTTTATTTCACTGAAATGTAGTTGATGGAAGAGTGCGGGAAGAGCACGGCGCTTGTGAGACCTGCGCCTGCGTTTGAAGTATCACAAGTAGACCAGTTGTTATGTGTTGACAGATCAAAGCGAGAAAGGTAGATCGTCACCGAATTCCGAGTAGTAAGGCTCGTCGCAGGCTGGTAAAAGGCCTAAAGGCAAAGGGTTCGAAGATTCCCAGCGAGTATCAAAGTGCTCTTTCATTGGGCCAGTCTTATCAAAGGAGGCATCGCTGAGATCGAAGACGCTACACTTCGATGTCTTTGGTTCTCTGATGCATCGTGATGCCTTCCAAAATGTTACTTTACTCCAAGATGATGCCGGGTCCTATGAATAACTGAATCGAGCTAAATGCGGAGTTGACGTCCCAGAAGTTTTCTCATAGTTGATACTGACTTGTTCGAGATAGCTCTGTTATTCATCTTTGGCGTAGTTCATTGGTAATAGACCAATATGCCTCACTCTCACTTGGGAGATAGGTTGGGCAGGGCACCCTTTTCCAACGGGGAATCAGATTTTACACATATAACTTGAAAATAACTGCGAAAGGAGATGCTCCCATAAGAAAAAGTCTTCTAATCATATCATACACATAAATTGGTTCAGTGGAAAGAGCTAACAGCGATGCTAACAGAGCTTCGACGAAAACTGATCAGCTCTGGAGTGCATATAGATATTTCAGTATACTTCGTTATCCTTTACATCCTCACTCTTCTGCTCGTTGCAATTCCCTTGATCCACTTTGAAATATTAATTGGTCAACGCCACCGCGCAGGTGCATGTAAACTCTTCAGCAATTACGGTCTAGGCTATGAAGGTGAGTCTCAAAGTCTCAATCACTTTGTGTTTTCGCTTGCATATTTCCGAACCCGTCAACCTTAACAAAATCCTATCGATGGCCACGATGAATAAAGTGTTAGGCGAGACTACGTGCTAATTCAACAGGAAAGTCAGTCTTCTCAATGCTGACGTTGAATGCTGCTTATCTAACCAGGGAAGGATCCCAAGTCGAAGTGGCCACTTGAAATGAGACCTACACTGTTGGACGTGTTTTTGAACGCTGAGTTCAAATCTGCTTTCCAAATTTGCCAGGCGCTTCTCTGAACGGAGTTATGAGGGTGGTTTCAGGGAGCTTAACATGAGAAAACTTAAATTACCTGAACGTGCCTCATTTCTCAACGGCGGCTTGGTGTAATGGTAGGCGTGACGCTTCATGGGTGAGAGGCTAGAGTTCGGGTTAGGTGGGGGACGAAATTTTTGCATTACATAGAATTATTCCCTCAAGGACTAGAAATACTCTCATGGCGACTTTATCACGTTTTATGACCTTTTAATGCTTTGCTATGAAATAGCTCATGACCTCAACTTGTGCGTGTACACACGAGACCCCACTTTTTGCTTACTATCGTTTGTGTACTTATAGTTCTGTGTGGCTAGATAAGGGAATCCATC